TACAAACACTCACACCGCGTTTCGTCAAAATCTGTCAATATTTCAACCTTCTACATGTGGGCGTGTAAAAATTATCGGTCAAGTTGTGTAATCGTCCCAATACCAGGATATCCTGATGCATGAAACCGCAGTGAGTGGTCAATTAAAAGATCCGCATGAAAGGAGGAAGTTAATAATTATGTTCTCCGAGAATACAGTTCTACAAATAGTTGATATACTGAATATAAAATGTGCCTTATCATAATTTAGTACCATTTGAATAATAAAAACGTCCATCACTTCTGTGTCTTTGAAAACACGTACGTCAATTTCCATCTATTAGACACATTTTATGGGCTGAAATGGTTGGAAAAAAGGATTACGTAGCAGTAATTGAGGTAAGGAATTTTACCCAAGATTGATTTAAATATCAGCAACTAAAGTACACACGGATTTAAAGGATATAAACATCAAAAATTTCCCTACCCCATTCATAGAGCAAATTCCACTTTCACTCAATTTTCCTTTATTTATGTTGACTTGTGCCGCAAAAAAATGGATGTGGATGAACCTGGCGTCTGATTTTTACTCCAAAAATTGCTGAATATATTCCAATATGGGCTCTTGTTAAGTTGGTACATGACAAGTTAACGTCCGTCCACCCCTAACTAAAGTTAATATCGCCGCAGATTAGGTAATTGGGTAGTTGGATCTGATTCTGATTTTGACATCTGGTAGTATCGAATGACATGGCTCTAACAGTTGGTAAGCAATTTTATCCCTTGATGGTGATTATATTGGATCCATTCAATATGTTTTTATGTCTCTTATTTCAGCTGCAGACTATAGAAATTAAAGAAACTGGATTCAAGGATCGTTGGGTTTTAATCACAGCTTTAATTATACTAGCAATTGTAATTGTTGCGATAGCCTCTTTGTCTGTTATCTTAAAACTATTTTGATCGACACTAGTATTAATTATTAGAGCAGCTCGTCCTATTACTGTAGCGAAACTCGTGTCAAGACATACATAACGCCGAGTGATTATATGAGTGTTTTAAACAACATGGTGGGTAGAAAACCGAAATCATGTAGTAAACATAAAATATACTCTTTGGCGTGAACAAGTGGGTTACCATCAAATGTTATATGATCTCATATTGTGATCTTTCTCACAAAGTGTCCCGCCATTGGATACATGTAGAACAATACCTACCGCCTGAATACGCTTGTCACTGATGTTTTGTATGAGAATATATCATTAGGATCGTGATATCTTTGTTCAATTTGTTGTTTTTTTTACTTTTGACGATATTCGGTGTTGAATCCTTATATGCACCAATATTGGTTACACCACTGTATGTACCAAATTTTCAATAAAATCTCTTCTAAAATAATGAATCTATAAATCATAAATTTATTCGTTCTTCTCATAGTTCCTATTGTAATCTGATCTAATTCTGTTGTGAGAACAAATTCATCGTGTACATCGCATTATGAATATGATGATATTTTAATGGAGGTATCAAAACCACTCAGATCGGAGTTAATAGTTTGTGGTTAGATATGAAGTACCGAATAGACCAAAGCGGATCTATGCTTCAAGAAAGATTTTTCAGACTTATATTTAACAGTCATGGTCTTAAAAAATATCTTTACTTTAAGCAAAACGTTAGCTAATAATTTTTAAATATATTTTAAACAATTTTAATGCATACAAAACATAGAACTTTCTTAAGAGTTGTTCACGTGCTATAAAGTGCAAATGTATAAAAAAATGATAATGGTATTGACCCGTATTCACGAAATACAATAAGCTCATGTTATTCTATATTACTATTACCCAACTATAAACTTTTAAATTGATTCTAATTTAAGTTTGTACTTTAAAACGTATGCTCTATTGTAAAGAAGGTTTTCCAGATTTTTAAGTGTATTGGGGACATTGATAAAGACTTACACCCAAACTAGATCAAAATTCTTAATTTCAAATAGCATAAATTTGCACCTTTCTCTAATGACGTCACTTATCGCAAAATATGCTTGAAAATTTATTAGGCTGGTGTTTTTGGTTTTTTTTTTTTTTGCTTAAATCTGTACAGTAGACACTTTCCTAAAAGCATAATAAACTTTAAAAGACATTTTCTTTTTAAATAGTTTTTACGTAAAAAAATTATTGGTAGGATATATTTCGTTTAAACTTTCTGATATGTTAAGGGAGTCATTTCTCGAGTATAATTATCACAAATTTGAGTCCAAAGAAATTTCGACTTACAAACAAAACACAACACCCCTTTATAAGTAGGCGTATGAAATATGTTATTCCCTATTGACAAAAAAAAAACAAACACATTTGATAAATATATTAAACGAACCGTGAAACAAATAATCTTATGTAGATCTCAATATACTCCACTTGTGCTGTCATGGAAGTCGCCAATTGTACAATATCTTTTAATGAAGTCGAAAAAGCTCGGGAAACTATTTCGAAATTTATTCACAAAACTCCAGTTTACACAAACAGTACAATTAATAACATCACCGGAAGAAGTATATTTTTTAAGGCGGAAAATTTTCAGAAAACTGGATCTTTTAAGGCACGAGGAGCCCTCAATACAGTAAGTTTTTCAAATATGATTTCTTAAAATATATATGTGCATACAAAGTGTCCCGCCATTGGATACATTTAGAGGAATACCTATCACCTGAACATGCTTGACACTGATGTTTTGTATGAGAAAATATCATTAGGATTATGATATTTATGTTCAATAGCAGATGTTGGTTAAAGTTATGATTTGTAAGTGATCTGAGTGCTGAAAATTACAAAGAACACATTTACCTACTATGAATCAGAAATTGGGACACTTGCAAAGAGTTACGTGTTCTAAGGTTGTGATATTTCCCAATCATTGGATAGAAAAAAAAAACACATCTGAATATGCAAGACTCTGAAGAAAATTGCCGAGAAGAAACTAATGATACCTTCTAACTAATAAATAATACTAATATTATTGGTAAAAATTAGATCTAACATTTTAATTTCGTGTGTCTCCGGATATGATAAATAATTTAGATTCGTGACCTCTGCATTTGCATATTTTGATAAAACAACGTCAACCTGCATAAATTTTCCTATCGTATCAAAACAATGTCAAATTTATTATCTATTTCTCACATATACATTTCAGTTATTACCAAATATCACAATTTATAGACCAATTTTCATTATAACCCCAATAATAGCTGTAATCGGAATTCTTAATGTTGTCTGCTAGAATATATTCTTGTGAATGATATATTCTTGTGAATGAAGTCACGTGACAAACTAGCGGATTCCGTGTCAGCAGAAAAATTCTATGGAACATATATGGGCCATATCCTTATGTTGATCCAATGCATTTTTGGAATAAATTACTCTTATTTTACATTTTACTTATCTTCTTTTGTCTGTCACTAATTCTTTTTCGTAAATCATTGTTCTTGGAAGGAATTGTCATTAGTTATAATGAAATATTATTATAGATAAATACCAAGAAATGTAGTTATTCCACTAGGTATCCATACAACGTTTTAGATGAAACATGAAAATAGGTGACGCATGTTGCAGCCGTTGTCGAGTTTGTTATTCATGAAATATTGGTCAAGGTGAGAGATTCACAAAGAAAATCGAAATAACCCAATATTAATTTTTTGTAAGGAATATGTTTTTAACTTTTGACGAAATTCGGTGTTGAATCTTTGTATGCACCAATATAGGTTACACCACTGTATCTACATAATTTTCAATAAAATCTCTTCTCAAATCATGAATCTATACATCATAAATTTATTCGTTCTTGTCATAGTTCCTATTCTGATCTGAGTTAATTCTGTTATGAGAACACATTCATCGTGTAGATTGCATTATGAATATGACAATGTTTTAATGGAATCCCAAAAAGAAGGTATCAAAACCACTTAGATCGGGGTTAATAGTGAATGTTTGTGGTTAGATATCAAGTACGAATAGGTGAAAGCGGATCTATACTTCAAGAAAGATTTTCTATATTTAACGGTGGTGTTTAGTATTATTTTACTTTAAGCAAAACGTTAGCTAACGTTTTAAGTACGCATTAAACAATTTTAATGCATACAGAATATAGAACTTTCTTAAGAGTTGTTCAAGTGTTAAGACTTTATAATGTGCAAATGTATACAAAAAAATGATAATGGTATTCGACCCGTATTCACGAAATACAATAAGCTCATGTTATTCTATATTACTATTACCCAACTATAAACTTTTAAATTGATTCTAATTTTAGTTTGTACTTTATAACGTGTGCTCTATTGTAAAGAAGGTTTTCCAGATTTTTAAGTGTATTGGAGACATTGATAAAGCCTTACACCCAAAAAATTTGCACCTTTCTCTAATGACGTCACTTATCGCAAAATATGCGATTATTGACGTCATCAACAACTTAATTTTAGCGTAATGGCTGGAACCACAGACGTCTGATTGAAAATTTGTATAGTGTAAATTTACGCTATTTGAAATTAAGCAGTTTGATCTAGTTTTGGTGTTTGGCTGTATTATGACTCGATATTATAATCGAATAAGAATATTCAGAATAAATAGGAGGAATATCTGTCCATAATTAATTAGGCTGGTGTTTTTTTTTTTTTTTTTGCTTAAATCTGTTCAGTAGACACCTTCCAAAAAGCATAATAAACTTTAAAAGACATTTACTTTTTAAATAGTTTTTACGTAAAAAAATTATTGGTAGGATATATTTCGTTTAAACTTTCAGATATGTTAAGGGAGTCATTTCTCGAGATTTTGGTGTATAATTATCACAAATTTGAGTCCAAAGAAATTTCGACTTACAAACAAAACACAACACCCCTTTATAAGTAGGCGTATGAAATATGTTATTCCCTATTGACAAAAAAAAAACAAACACATTTGATAAATATATTAAACGAACCGTGAAACAAATAATCTTATGTAGAACTCAATATACTCCACTTGTGCTGTCATGGAAGTCGCCAATTGTACAATATCTTTTAATGAAGTCGAAAAAGCTCGGGAAAATATTTCGAAATTTATTCACAAAACTCCAGTTTACACAAACAGTACAATTAATAACATCACCGGAAGAAGTATATTTTTTAAGGCGGAAAATTTTCAGAAAACTGGATCTTTTAAGGCACGAGGAGCCCTCAATACAGTAAGTTTTTCAAATATGATTTCTTAAAATATATATGTGCATACAAAGTGTCCCGCCATTGGATACATGTAGAGGAATACCTACCACCTGAACATGCTTGACACTGATGTTTTGTATGAGAAAATATCATTAGGATTATGATATTTTTGTTCAATAGAAGACGTTGGTTAAAGTTATGATTTGTAAGTGATATCAATGCTGACAATTACAGATCACACATTGACCTACTATGAATCAGAAATTGGGACACTTGCAAAGAGCTACGTGTTCTAATGCATTGACAATTTTAATGCATACAGAATACAGAACTTTCTTAAGAGTTGTTCAAGTGTTAAGACTTTATAAAGTGCAAATGTATACAAAAAAATAATAATGGTATTACCCAACTATAAACTTTTAAATTGATTCTAATTTTAGTTTGTACTTTAAAACGTATGCTCTATTGTAAAGAAGGTTTTCCAGACTTTTAAGTGTATTGGGGACATTGATAAAGACTTACACCCAAACTAGATCAAAATTCTTAATTTCAAATAGCATAAATTTGCCCCTTTCTCTAATGACGTCACTTATCGCAAAATATGCTTTATCACAATAGAACGTTCGCGATTATTGACGTCATCAAACACTTAGTTTTAGCGTAATGGCGCTAAAAATATTCATAATGAATTCGTAGTTTCATCAACATACACATACATCTCAAATTTCATCAAATTGAATAAACACTATGATATTAATCGTTCATCCAATTTGTATTTACCAAGATATTGTTCAAGCGATGTGTCGATGTAAAAAATAACAAACTAAAACTCTACATTTATTCGATGGAAGACGATACAGAATGAATTAAAAATCTATACATGACGATGTTGATTGTAAGCGTGCATGATGAATAGTGACCTTCACCCAGAAGGCGGAAGTGTCAGAAGTTGCGCACAAGGTTTAATGGAATCTGTTCGGTCTGTTCGAACCACCGTTCTTTCCACGACCCGACATTCTGAACACTTATCAATATATAAATGCATATTAAGTTAATAATATTTAATTAATCACTACCCAATTCAAACTTGATATAGATTCTACATACCAGTTTTATTCAAGATCGATTGAGTATTTGGCCTCTATTAAATCTACAAGATCAGATAAAAACTGTAGCCTGTATTGTGCCTACAAATTTCAAGCGTTTTTTTTTTACAAAGTCAGGGGCATCCAATTACCAAATCCGTCCTTGACCAAGATATCCTCAATATAAACATGCATAATAAGTTTCATCAAAATCGATTTAAAACTGTAGTCTCTTTGTGTCCACGAGAAATGTGGACGGACAGGAGTGACGGCATTATACGTCCAAATTTCATTCTTGGCGGCCGACAAAAAGGCATTGGTGCTAAAGTTTGGTTTAATTTCTAGAAAATGGAGGTGACTTGAACCATTTCCTAAATGAAAAGTATGCATCAATTTTACATCTACTCTTTCGTTTATTTACATAGTATCAATGAGAAAAGCAAAACAAGCGACTAATAAATATTTAACTTGACGTCGAGATTCCGCTTGAGCAAATGTACTCAAAGGTAAATACATGTAAACAAAAAATGATGAATTAATGTTGGGAATGGTTATTGACGGAAACAAAAGTACATTATTATTTTGATTGGTCCCTATCACGACAAAATACTAAATAAATACTTTAATCCGTATCAATCTTCTATTTCAATCGTGTCGATTGTCAAACTGATTGTTATGCTATTAGTAATTCTGTGGGATAACTTTAGGGCGTCACTTGTTCTATTTTTCCACATTGAGAGTAACTTTGTATACGTTCAGGTAGCAGTCATAGAACTTAAGCGGCTTTGCTATTTGATACAACAAGGTTTATAATATATAGTATATACTTGTAAGTAATATGTTAACTATACTGTTAGTATTCAAGATATCAATTTATTAAGGCATTTGAGCAAAAATATCTTAAGTGTGACACTGGTAAAAAGATCCTCATATTTCATCCTTATTTGTTTGTTTGTTTGTTTGTTTATCAGAACAGAACTGAACAGAAATTTATTTACTCACACCCACAGCGTGGGTTACAGGGGATTACATGAAATATAAATATAACAATTTCTACACAATAATAATAAAAAGAATTCAATGTGTTAATAAGTATAAATCTTGTCTTGGATTATTTACATTTTAATATATTCTTTTCAATATGATAAAGAAATACACTTATATTTGATAAAACTCGTATATTATTATAACAAAATAAGGTTTTCATTTTATATTTTGATGAATATGTTGTATAATACTTAAGAATGTACTTAATTCTGAAGAATAAGATCGATGGGTGTTGACAGAGGAAGAGATAGATTATTACATAGTGGACATTTTCTGTCATTTCTAGGAATTTTATTCCATCTTCCTGTTTCTATCGGTAATTTTAAATTTGAGGTTCTGAATTTACATAGATTAATTCTTTGAAAGGAGTTCAACTTCAGCAAATCAAAGTTTTGTTTAACTAGGTAATACATTTCTCCTCTAGAAGAAGTACAAATATCATTGTTCCATTTTTGAATAAATTGGTCTTGGGTTTTTTGTTTGATGGTGCATTTCAAGAGTTTAGTATTAAGTGATATAATCCATTGATTCAACCATACATAAGATAAGCCATTGTGATCTAATATTTCTTTTATGAATTTTATATATTTAAACTGTTTCTGACCTGTTGTATGTAACTGCAAGACGAGACTATATAATTTATGCGATAATTTCTCAGAGTTTGGATCGACAAGCTTTGAACAAAATACAATCATACGTTGTTGAATAGTTAATACAATAGGGAATCGGCCTGTTTTTTAATTATTCAGGTTGTCTACCTCAAATTTCCAGTCAAATTTCACACATCTGAAAGTATATTTTTTCGGACCAGAAAGATCTTGTTCTTCTGAAACCGTAAATTTGATGATTTTCACTTCAAGAGTTCTATGATATAACGGAACCACCAAATTTAAAATCGTGGGAAGTTATGTCTGAACATATTGATGAGAAAGAAAATATCAAAACACGTGTGTATGTAATTTGTGTCGAATACTTCTTTTCTTTGGAGAAGGCAATGTCTTTCCTGTAGAGTTTGCATCCAGAAGAAAAAATCGTACTCGATTAAATTATAATTACTAATTATTAATAATGAGATGCCAGAAATGGTAAGTTTGATCCATATAAAATCTTACTTTGTCTGTGAACAAGTTGGTATCAGTGTCATCAACTAAATGCAAAGTTGCAGTAATATGTATACCTTTGAAATAATTAATATTTTGATCATTACAATTAACTGCATGTCGTGTTAGATCATGATACAGATATTATTGTACTCTATGTTTCAGATTTTGAAATTAACAAAACTTAAGAAAGTTAACGGATTGGTAAATATTGTTTTAGTTTTTTAAACCCAAATCTTACTTCATCAAAATTAAAATTAAAGAGCTCTTCTAAAGCTGATGACTGGTGTTTCAGATGCACATTGCTCATCAGAACAGATTTGAAAAGATGCTTTTCCAAATTGGACTGGCAAATGTGAGGATGCATTTTCTGCAGTAATGAAAGATTCCAAGATTTATATTAATAATCACCCAAAACATACTTGGATGATTCCAGAAAGTCATATTTTGATGATAAAATGTACATATATTTTTACAGGTAACTTGCAGTAGTGGTAACCATGGTCAAGCCCTTGCATGGGCAGCGAACACTGTCGGGCTACCTAGTAGTGTAGTCATACCACGCCATGCCCCATTAATTAAAAAAGAAGCCATCAAAGAATACGGAGCAAATCTTATTGAATGTGGTTCTAAATATATGGACAGGTCAGTTTGTATATATCATACATTCATTCCGAGTTGTAAAATCATCAAAGCAGTGAAGATGGGACATTTACGAAACTCTTCACATTTATTCACATCAGCTTTCAAACTATAAGTCTTTTCCAATTAACAAAGGAACGTACCTTGACAGTTTCCATTTCCAGAAAATACAGTAAGCGCCAATAATGTGACGTTATTGGTAAAATCCTGCACGCGAGAAACTGAATAAATGTTTAAATGACAACAGTATAATATTATAGTAGACTGTGACGACGGTTTTATGGGGTCTCAATGGTATGTGTTCCTTTTTCAGAGTGACAATGTGTCAGAAGGCAGCTTTGGAATTGAATTATGATATCATTCCCTCATCAGATCATCCAGACGTTATAGCAGGACAGGTATTGAAACGTGTACAATGTATAAAATTGGTTTTCACGCTGAAATTAATGTAAGATAATATTAGGGCTTCTATTGGCTGCATTTTTCTCTTGTGGTGTTGATTGGTAAATAAAAAATTAACTCGCTGTCTGGTTCGGATATACTATATTATTTTGGTGGATGAGGTCTCAGATATAGTTCAACAGTAGAATGTCTTCAGCTCAAAGTCTATTGCAAGAGCAAATAACACTAGATGGTTCGCTTGCTCACCAGGATCACACACTGGCACTCGGTGACAGGGTCTGTCACATAGCTAACTATGTAATTTTGTTGATTTTATTTTAACGTTATTCCGGCCAGTGGATTTATTGTGTTGATTTATGCAAAATGACCTTTTTATACGCCCACGCGTAAGATGGGCGTATATTGTAATCACCCCGTCGGTCAGTCCGTTCACATTTGGCTCGTGCTCACTCTACAGGCTACAGTTCTTTATGGATTCTTTTGATTTTTATTTTGTGTGTCAATGTCATTATGAAGATGTGTCTGACCTGACGTTTTACTCTATTAGCTATATTGTGCAACTCGTGCTCACTCTAAAGGCTACAATTCTTTACAGATTCTTTTGATTTTTATTTTGTATGTCAATGTCATTATGAAGATGATCCCTATCGATTTTAGCGATGATCGGATAATATTTCACCGAAATATCGTGTGTGACTTGACGTTTCACTCTATTAGCTATATTGTGCAACCCTGTAGTCACTAAAGACTGTTTAATCATTTCTGACAGCTGCCAGTGGGCGTATGTTACCTTGCCTTGCAAGCTATTTTTTTTACTCTTACAGGGAACAATTGCATTGGAATTCTTTGAAGCAATACCAAATTTAGATGCTTTGTTTGTAAGTGTTGGTGGAGGAGGAATGATAGCTGGTATAGCAATTGCAGCTAAACATATCAATCCGGATATTAAAGGTAGAGATATATATCTGAAAAGTGTCATCCTCTGCATAGGTTTTTGATTATGCCAAAAGTGGCAGTCTGGTGAGCAGAATCTAACATGTGCCATACATGGGAGTTGAAAAACTCCAATGATCATAATTTAATTTAAAATGAAATAAAATGCATCATCACCAACAGTGTGCTATATAACACCTCATAATTTAATTAAATTCTGACGTATTATTTTAAGTGTATGCAGTAGAACCAGATGGGAAAATACTGGAGAAATGTTTAAGATCTGGTCAAAAATTGTGGCCTGCTCCACCTCAATACTTGGACACGATTGCTGATGGTATAATGAGACAATCTGTTGCAGATGTTGCTTGGCCTTATATGCTGGAAAATGTTGAGAAGGAGGTGTTTACAGTGGTAAGTAAAATAGTTACGAATTTCAGTGGGCATATGAAAAGTCACAAAACAGCAAAAATTTTGTTAAAATATTTTCTCCTTTTGCACACAGGTTTCACATTTTTTGTTTTTTGTAAACATTTTTTAACTCTCATTAACGTCCGGAGAAGAAGGAATTCGTGTTCAATGAACTTTTCTTTTAACTTTTTTGAAAATTGTCCAATTTTTTCAGAATGACGAGGAAATCGTTAACGCCATGAAATTTGTTTTCGAAAGAATGAAAGTAAGTGAAATTTTTAATATCAATGAAGTATTCCAAATTTAAGACAGCCTTCAGTCGTCCATCCTTATGTCTTTTTAAGTGGTTTTATTCTTATCTTAAAATAAAGTCATGTCACCATACTGTTCGCTTGAAAGTCATGAATGATATCATTAATGCAACTTTTTCTCGGCGCCTCTAAGTTTAGTTCATGCAAACCTGTGGATCAAAACTTTTTTTTCCAGTTGGTTATAGAAACATCAGCAGCAGCTACAGTTGCAGCAGTTATGTCGGATCAGTTTAAAAAGCTGGATGATACCATCCAAAACGTTGGAGTGATATTGTGTGGTGGAAATGTAGACATAAATAATTTACCATGGTAGTTGCTTGCAGTTGGCTTTTTCCATTATTCATTTTGAACAATATACTTTCAAAATCTGTATAGCGTAAACATGACCTTAATATCTTTCAAAACATAACTTTGATATCTTCTGTAGGCGTATCAGATGGTCTTTTTTTTCTTTTTTGAAGACGTTTTTATACTTATTTCTTTACTTTATTACTAAAGCAAGATAGCAAGATCTCTATCCAATATAGTGTGAACAATACCTTTATAGCTTACTGAATAACGATATATTTTTTTCTCCAATTGACTGCAATCTCATTTATACATAAACAAATATTTTTTTAAACGTTTTTAATACTTATTTTCTTTACTTTAATATCAACGGGATCTCTATTATTTGTTTTCCCAATGAATAAATTACGAATACTTTATAAATAGTAAATAAGTTTTACGTCTTACTTTTCTGCCCCATGTTGGCTAATGAAGACGGCAGTGCCATGCAGAGTTCAATGAGGGAACTTTTGTCAGCACATCGGCATTAATCGATTTCTAACGGTTGATGGATCTTTAATGTGCACAGTCTGTAGCACATGAAGCCTCGGTTTATTGTTCCATCCGATTGACTAAACGCTTTTTCCACTGACAAGTGTAAAACAGGTTAAATAATCGACATGTGCCGAAATTGAACCGGCAAAAAAGTGTGCGTTATGATTTATTACAAATCTATTGTGTATATAACAAATGTTGTCGGAACCAAATTGCCATGTAAACATGCACTTCATAAAATTAACATTTTTGCCCATTTTTGCCAATAGACTTCAAGGGAAGTAACTCGATTCATGAAGTAGTAGTATACGAGGTAAATTCCATGAAAACTCTCAGATATCTTGACTTTTTTTCTTTTACACTCCGTAGTCTTTTTATTCGTACAAAAGACCAACGAGTTATTAATTCGAATGCTATTGTCATCTGACTTTAGAATAGAATACCGCAAATACACTTTAAGGGAAGTAACTCGAGTCAATATTATACGAGCTAAAATTCTTGAAAACTCTGATATCTCAATTAATTTATTCTTAAACTTAGCACTTTTTAATTCTTACTTCATGACCTAGGCCAACGGGGTATTAATTCGAATGCTATTTTGCATCTTACAAATCGAGTCAATAGTATACGGGGTAAAATTCGTGAAAACTCTCAGATATCTCTACTAATTATTTTTTAAAACTTGGCTCTTTTTAATTCTTACTTCATGATCTAGGCCAACGGGGTATTAATTCGAATGCTATTTTTCATCTTACAAATAGCACAATTACACTTTAAGGGAAGTAGCTCAAGTCAATAGTATAGGAGGTAAAATTCATGAAAACTCTCAGATATCGCAACTAGTTTATTTTTAAATTTATCACTTTTTGATTGCTACTTCATGACCTAGGCCATCACGGATTTGTTTTGAATGCTATTGTCATCTTACTTTAGCCAGAATAGTACAACTAGACTTGAAGGGAAGTAACTCGAGTCAATTGTATATGAGATAAATTACTGTGAAACTGTCAGAATTTCTTTTTTTACTTTTTGTTTTTTATTTCATGACCTAAGCCGGTGGGTGGGTATTTGCTTTGAGTTGCATTCCCATCATACATCAATACAGACATGTACAGATCTTTCCATTGATTTCAGTCTAACCCTCTTCCGTATATCGTAATCTGGTAATATTGAATTCTTCCGTTTTTCGCTCTACATATCTCACCCGAAGTTGTAGCTTAAAGACACAATCCACAGAGTCCGGATTAAAGTATATAATCCCATTTTTAATTAGCACCATTAAGCTGATAATTACTTCAAACAGTAGTATCAACTTGGTTACTTTTGATCTTGGCAAAGTCATTTACAGTTTAATCAGAGTAAACAAACTGTTACTTGCAAAAACAAATTAAATTTCAATTAATTAAACGGGAACTCAGATAACCGTTAAATTAATTTCGGTTTGCTGGTTATTATGCAACTGTCTGCTAAATTTAATATTGACATTATAAAATTGACAAAAAGATCCCTTACAACGCGTAATGTGCACAGGATACTTTGTGGGAGATAATCCAGTTATCAAATAAGCAACGAATAGTAGTTTCTCTTAAAAAATATTGCATATATCCAAAAGATATGATTATCCTAGCCAACGACTTAAACATACTCAGTTTAATTTCTAATTTGAATTTAAACAACGACCGTTCTCTGAACAAAAGGCCAATTTCACTGAACATACTTGAGTTTATCCATAGTCGCCGTTTTAATGAAACGTTATTTCTAAACGATTGTTTACTGTTAAAAGTAATGTCGTAGTGAAATATGTTTCACAAACACGTAAATGTAGGTAGTCAAATGAACAGTTATTTAACAAATGTATGACAGTTCGTGATATGTATACTTAGCTTTGGACTAGATAGTGACATACCTGTGTCGAGTCGGTGAACGATTGTATGACGTCATATATATTCTTCCAATAAAAACCTTCGTAAAAAAGACTGGATTAAACTAGTCTTAAATGAAAGAGGAAGCCAATTAGAAAAGTGTTTGAGTCTGGATATCGAGACTAAATGTAAGTGTCGATTGCTGTAAACGTCTGGATGATCCATTAACTGCGATTGATAGTACTGATAATTATGTGTCTGGATAATTAATCTAAATAACCGTTTCACTCTGTGAGCTATTTTTATCATTACGTCAAAGGAAAACCCGACTGCTTTGTTAACAATAATCTTTTTGTTCATTTACCGAAACCAAACTTTACCAGTTATTTTAAACGACATGGCTATGATGTATCGGGAAAGTAAACGGTGAGGGGAATTCCTTATTTCACTTCGTACCTGGTACAAGAAGAAAATATACTACAGTTTGGACATACTCCCGAATTGTTGAGGTAAGTGAAGTATAATTTATTTGTAGTGGACATTTTAAGACTTACTTTGGGTAACCATAAATCTCTTTACTATATATCGGTCAATGTGTTCAGTGAATCGTTTGCGTAGTCTGAAGAGGTAGAATATATTCTGCCATAAAATATTTAGGCAAAAATGAACATATATTTCAATACATACGTAGGAATTATTTTACAGTGGAATAGATCAGTCGGTAGCTGACTGGGTTGTCGTCTGCTAGGCAAATAGGTGCTGTTGGTTCGAACATGGGTTTACAAGCAGAGCTTTAAGAGTCAGCTCGGCATCGGTTTTCAACCGCTACCACCTACTTCAAGTATTGTTTCTACTCAAAAGATAAATGTAATTATGTTTGGCATCTTTGGGAAGCCCTATAAAGAATCTAGGTGTGATGTATTCTGATTCATGTAAAATGATTATACATCACTTATTGTGATTCGTTAAGAGTGTTGAAGTAAAGTTCAGAATCTTAAACTTGATTCATACTGGTTCTGTATGGACTACAGTTCAATAGTTCATGTAGTAGTGACTCATAATCATTTCGGTGGTCTATTAAACTTGTTAAACAAAACGTTATAAAATAAGCCACCACTTTCCTAAAGATATATTTGACATATATATCTACATATCTTTCTTGATGCGTATTAATATATTTTCATTGTGTTCTAAATCCATTCCCTACTGTTTTGTTGATAATTTCACATTTCTGATATCAGACATTTAAACACTTGAACTCTTGTTAACCCTTACCTGAACTGCAGTTGAATGCACCCCGTTGGATATTTTTAACTCTGCTGTTGATCTATTTGAATACGAGAATCTGAACGAATATCAAATAGTTAAAAAAAAATGTCACGCTTCATTGGGTCTGGAGCAGTAACCGGGGGAAATAACTCATTAACCATTTATAATATATCAAATAATTTTGAACGATTTCAAAATAAATTTGAATTGTCAAATCATCAAAAATAACTTGTTATGAGCTGTTCATTCCTTATTACCACAAAAATGTATTTTACCTGTAGGAGTATCAAAAAGAACATTAATTATTGTATTTAATGACAATGACGAGTACAATCCAATAAAGCATCTTTTCTTATGTTAAACCACCCATTAGCAATTAGTAGAAATGTTCAACATTCAAAAATTAAGTGCATAGTCGAAATAAAGGTTACGATGATTCAAAGCAACAAGTTACTATCCAACAAATGGCACTGGCACAGAGTGAAAAATTGTGTTTACAACTAGTGTTAAGATAATATAACGTAAGCAAACAAAAGTAATTTTGAAAGGTTATTACACATTTTAAATCTTAGACCTAAATAAACATTCCTTAAATTATATATTACGAAAAATTCCTCATGTATCTATTTAAACTTATTACTAGAGTTACATGACATAATATTAACTTGTATTATATTGGCAATAAAAATTCACACCCGTATTTATATCGCAAACGGAAACACCACTTCTGCTGTTAAATGACTCTTTTGTAATTTGATGTAACGAATTAATTACAACGTGACTGTGTAGGTTCAAACATTCATTTAGAATTTTGTCCCTATTCATTTATATGGCATAGGTTTTGTTCAGTTTTATCACGAAAATTGCCTCAGGTGAAAATTTGAATCGAAGTGGGCACTGTAAAGATCTCGAATGAAGTTTCAAACACGTACGACGGAAAGTAAAGATTAGAGGTGCCTGTCTGAATTTGAAAGGGGTCCTGTTAGATACTTTTTCGCAGTAAGGTCGAAAATAAATTGACTTGTATTCTTACTACGTGACAAAAACCAACAAATTTCGACAGTTCTTAACAGTTAGTGGTAGCATTAAATATCATATTTTTCTATGTGTTTTCAACTAACATGTAATAGCTAATGAATAAAATGTACCACGATAATTAGTCTTTATCTATACGAACTCCCAATGATAACACCGAGGTTAACATCATGACCTTACTGTTATTGTGTAAGAATATCCTGTTGATGTATAGCATACATTATGACGCTGCTTCATAATGAACAGAAGACATCCGGACATACATCCCATACGTCAAAACATTAAAGGAAGGCATGTGTGCTAAAACCGAATTATTTATTAAAATTTAACATATTTTCCTTTTACATGATAGATACGGTAAATTCGCCAGAAACAAAATAGAACGTAAATACATCCCTCTAGCGTTGGATTAAAACATTGCAATTTATCTCAGGTGGTTGCTAGTAGAATTATCGTCATCTTTGCGATTAGGTGTCGTGGAATTCAAACCTCAAGAAAAAATCTGTTAATACCTAAAATCTAAAGTAGGAAGTTTTGATATAACCGACTGCCAGGATACTCTAGCTTTACATAAAAGATTTGTGTTAAATGCGTGTCGCTTATATTGAAAGTGACTTTTTTTGTGTGTCATCAGTTCAAATTGATTGACATCAAACTTATAAAAAAAAGTGTGAAAAGTACAAATGTAATGAATCCAGTCTACTCGCAGTCATAGTTACCTCAAAGGTGAAATGTGTATGACAACAAATTTTGTTTGAATTGCCTTCAAAAGTTATTCACAATATTATTAACATTTCAGATTTTAATTATTCACAATGGAAGGCCAAGTTTTTAATCCCAAAAGAACAGTTTTAATTGAAGAAGATTTATTAGATCACGTGTATGATCCGCCTCTGTGGTCAGGTGGTCCATATCTGAAAATGGTTGACGAAGAAATCAATTTTTGCTACTCTCCTGTGAGCGATCCTCTGTTAAGAACTAGACTGTCAATTGATGACACTGGAAGTGAATCTCTTAAAGAGTTCAACCAAGTTCAAGAATGTAGAATTAACCTATCAAATGCCTATCCACACGTAAGTAAAATATTTGATTATAAACATTTTGAGAATCAGCTTTCTCATTCACAAGTCTATGTCTATGTGTTCGAACTGTCACAACAACTTACATCACTGTTTGAACTACGGCATCAACATATCTCAGCGTTCGATTTACATCACTGTGTACCAACTGTCACAACAATTTACATCACTGAGATAGAACTGCCCCAATGTTTCTAATCACTGTGTTCAACCGCTCACAACAATTTTCATCACTGTGTTCAACCTCTCACAACAATTTTCATCACTGTGTTCAACCTCTCACAACAATTTGCATCACTGTGTTCAACCTCTCACAACAATTTACATCACTGTTCAACCCGTCACAATAAATCAAATCACGGTGTTCGAACAGTCACAGCAATGCACATCACTGTGTTGAAACTGTCGCAACATACTGTGTTCAATCTCTTTGATGAGCAATTATTTTGGTCTGAGCTAACATAATCGTTACTAGGATTAGTTATTTCCCTTGCTATATATTTTTTCAGTATCAATGAAAAGAGAAATTTGTTCTGATCAAGGAGTTCTTAATTAAAAAAAATAGAAAATGTGTGGTTTGATTTCCTTAATAATTATTACTATTTCTTTTTCAGACAACACTGCCTAGTCATAACAACAGATTATCAAGAAAGACAATGTATTTGATATCAACCTGTTTAGCAATATCTGGACTTTTATTTTTATTTTCCTTTTGTTTATGATGACATGAGAAATTATATGTTCAACTGATTAAGGAAATAGACGGTTGTGCAATATTCCAAGATAAGGAAAATTGTGATATGAATCTGAATCGTACATGTGTCTTTATATGAACAAGTGCATACGTTTATAGTGGCGACTCGTGAGATTAATTTTGAAGACAGTGCCTTGTTTATCTGGAATTTTGTAACACCTATGGTGCCTTGTTTTACGTGCCTTCACTTAAGTCGAATAGTATCTAGTACATACTTTTATAAACTACGCCAAAAGTAACAAAACAGAACAAGTGCAGCTGTTGACAAAACAGAACAAGTGCAGCTGTTGAATGGCAAAACACTGTGATGACTATTCTAAGTGAACTATTAGCTAATGTTGCTCAAGTATGTGACCCCAGTTGGCCTATTAATAAGAATGGGGAAAATGCTTCTGAACTTTGCCTTTGTGTGTCGAGTAGACGGACTTCGACCAAGTTATGTGTTGAGTTTGTGCTCACTTTTGCCAGGTGGAAAACTGGATCTGAAGTGCGCTCTGGTAAATATGAAATATGTGTCAAGGTATTTGCCAATATTAGTAGATAAATCCTTTAAAACTGTTTCCATCGACAATATTTTGTTATATTGACTCTATGAAACGTGTTACAGCCACGTTTAATTTTAACAATGCAAAATCATCCTCATATTAAATTTTATCCACATTTTATTCATCTAGAAATATCACTTTTATTCATTCGTTATGATTTTTGTTATTAAATCAAAAAAATAATAATGGCGTTTATACTTTAAAACCAAATCTAAACCCCAATCCGAACATATATTTAAAAACTCTGTGATTAGAGTTAAATGAAAGTCGAAGTTGATATCCAGACATATCATTTTCAATTCGATTCAGCCATTAGTGATAGTCACGCAAGCTGGATAGAAGACCATGCATGGTTAGTTACAGTTAACAAAGTGAAGGCCAGATGAACCTCAGAGCTTCTGATTAATACTTGAAAGGTAATGAAGTTCTTCTGCACCTGAAAACAAACGTTATGTATAGGTTTACTCCTTCCTGAATTCCAACTGTCATTGGATCGTTAATGAGCATAACCTGTTACACACGGGGTATTGGTCCTTTAAGAACGCACATACTTCCGCCTACTGAAGTTGGAACTAAGAAATAAAATGTCAAGCAATTGGTGTAACAAAATTCCTCTTAATCTCAAAAGGATGGGGGTTGGTGTCACTCCTGCTGATCAATCGCTGAATTTAGTCGATCTGGATGCAAATATCACTAGTTCCCCAGTTGCTATCACTACCACTGACTTCTACTTTCTAACAAAATTTCCATTTTGTTTTCTATATGATAGCAGATTCTAATAGTTTGCTAATTTCTCTATACGACTTTTCACTATCAAGGGTGCTCATGTTCAGGACGCTGTACATTATTGTACATTTTGACAATCCTATTTTTCAAAGTTATTAACTGTGAATCATCAAATATAAAACAGATCACCATTACTGCATGTTGCATATCGTTCATGACAAGTATCAATTAGAATTAACAATTAAAACAGAAATGCTAACAATCCAACAAACTGTTGGATGTCAATAATAAATCGATGTTTGCTTTATATTTTGGAGCAATCGAAAAGTGTGACGTAGGAAAAAAAGGTGTGAGTAAATCGCATAAAGGTTTTGAGTATTTCTTTAGATCAACATCTGGATTTTATTAACCATCTATCGATAAAATGACGCATTAAGGAAAAAATAAAATCTTTCATCATCAGGTCAACGTGTTTAAAGCTAGTCAACAAATTGGCATTTTCACATTTAGACTGTTGCAATAGTCTCTTTATCAATCTACCTCGAACAACCCTTCATAGCTGATAATTGATATACCAAAATATGCCACCACCACAGTGAGGCATCAAAGGAGCTACATATTCTTCCAGTACACGTCCGGGCCAAATACAAACTCTTTCTGATGGTGTACAAATGTTTAAATAATTTGGCTCCAAAATAGATATTAATCCGTATTGTACAAGATACTCTACATGTTTTAACTTCGTGAACCAACAACAAAATATTAAACATCCTATGTAGCAGGACAACGGTTATGGAACAAGTTTGGTGTGAACAGCTAAAACTCTGTAAATCTGTTAGTTTAATCTACCTTTAAGAGAAAGTTAAAAACACACCTTTTTAGAAGTTACCTAATAAGATGTAAGCGGGTGAGTGTTTGAGTGTGTATAATAATTGAGTAATGTAGATATATCTGTATCTTAATCTATAGATCCCTTTCGTCTATCTCTCGACAGTTGAAAATCGGAAAAAGAGCAGGCTTATTCCACTTACCTCTCATTAGTCCAAAAGGACCACTACACTTAATTGTATGCCACCATATTAGATTACGTGGTGAAGCAAACATCCAACTCACCGAACTACATTAAATAATATCAAAATATGATGGAATTAAATTAACATGATTCCATTAGAAATACGTGCCAGTGTCAAACAATAATTCAATTTAAAAACATTAAAATCCAATCCGATAAATTTGTCGACCATTATGTCCCATATCATTGAAAGCTGAAATAATTCCATTTTTACATTTTGTCCATTGTATTTTTTGATTACCAATGGAATTAAAAATCTTAAAATGTTGATACTGTAATAGGAAAGTCATGCAAATATATTCAGATTAAACAGTTGTTATATCAATAAGTGAATATGGTTAAACAAAAGAATACAACTAAATCCTTCATCACGTTTCAAGATTCAAATAGATTTGTGAAGGTAAGTTTTTCATTATGTCATTATAGAAGGTCACATACCAGATAGATATCAGGTCAATAATATTCAATGGAAAATGTTCGAAGCAATGCACCAAAATTTCAACGTAGAGATTAGTAGTGTAATACGCGCATGATCGCATCACACACATACATTGTGTAAACTCAAAAAATACAAATCTTCACCGAAAATAAATGGCATCATCATCTTTACATTATTATAAATTATACTTTTCAAAATTGAAAATATTCTGTCAAGAAGCAAGTGAGATGGTACACGTCAAATAAATCACTTTTGTTGAAAAGAGACGGCAGATTGTGTAGGACCATCATGAAAACAAAATACATCATCTTATTAATATTATTGGCGAAAACACAAAGATATGAAAAGAAATTGTCAATAATTTTACCCTGTAGAGTGACCACAAGGTAAACGTAAACATGTCGACCAACGAAATGTGAGTATCAACAAAGGATGGGTATAAACAATTTCATAATCGAAAGCATTCACAGCAAATGTCAAGTGTCATTTTAGAGTCTATTCCTTCAGACCATAAAAAAATATCTTTACCATGAACAAGTACACTGAAAGTCCCTTACAAACTGGATTTTGATTCGGTTTGGGATAATTTATTAAATAATAGCATGTTGGTACCTGTATGTTTTGTTGTTTGGCAGATGAAAATTTAACGCCCACTTCCAACAGAACTTGATAACACAGACTAGGTTGTCGTGGTAGTTAAATATGGATCAATTAAGTAGTTGATTGTGTGTTCCTTGTTGTCCTTCATTCTTCCAAAACTCGCCATGATCGTGGTTTGGTTAGGGTGGCAATCAAAAAAGAAGATCTGAACAGAAAAAAAAGAAGGTAATTCTGTAATATACATTTATAAGTTGAAATTACTGCATTGTATTCTGAAAAAGATAAAATGTATCGATGAATCATTTTTCTGAAATAGATGAAAATTAGTCTAGGATGTATGTATTGATTCGATTTTCATACCACCATTCTGTGCCATGTCATTGTGATTGATGATATCCTATTACATAACTCCATAATAATATCCCTGATTATCCCTATAAAAGTAACTAAGAATTATATGACCACTGAAACAGATTTCTGTATTTTTATGCGTTGCTTACTACTCATAAAAAAAAGTTTCCGACCAACAGTTGATTTGATTTTTACCTTATCGGAACGAATACACTCAATCATCGAAAATGAAAGAAAAGGAAGAAATCTCGTGGAGATTAAGGGACAAGAAGAAAAAAAAATCATTAGGGAGCACACCACCAGAGAGAAAGTTGACAAATAAAAATTGCCAAAAGACCTCTTATTTGCGCAATGACTCTTATATATGTTTAATAGTTTCTGGCAAAACACCCAGGATATTAAATATTTAAATACACAGGAGAAAATTATTCTTTTTTTACCCAACATTTACAATTATTATCACATCAATGGCTGATGCAGATCAAATGTTGTGATATACATCTTTTTATCATTTCTTTCAGAGATAATTGAATGCTAGTTCAATTAATTAGCAACACAGATAAATTAAAATTAAAAAATTAACATGTCAATAATGACGTGATATTCATTTTATCAAGCCAAATAAAAAATCCAAGAGAAAAGGCTTGAATGGTTTACATGGCTACGCAATAAGTAGCTTATTTTGATGGAATTCGTTCAGAATGACTGATAAAGTATAAGTCTTGAATGATAATACTACACACGTTGGTTTTAGACATTTAATAGCTTTCTCAGAATTGATAAAACAAAAGTCAATTTGAATATTCATAAGATTTACCTATCTATATCAAATGGTTTTTGATACAGCACACTGACTGTCAATACACTTTTTCCCATGTTCATAAGCATTGCCAACCAAACCTTTTCTTAATAACAAAACTAGTGTCTTGTAGGTAGCTTACAAGGAGTGATATTTTGGAAAGATAATGGCATTGTCAAACTCTTTCTATATTATTTGAAAGATCTCTAGCGTACACTGTCTGAAGCCTGAATATTTTGGGTTTCCTGAGTTTACACCATTGTCAAACTTAACCAACCTCCTGGTACGGTAACTAACATGGAACAATGATACCAACCTATAGTATAATTTCATACATAACCGAATGATCTCGACTGAGTACTAGTGTCTTTTTGGATTTGTAAAGTTGAAATTGGATTGGAACTTTTATATTTCAGAAGGCCCAGCACTTGGTTTTGAAGGAAACTTGGCAAAATATCACCATGGATGAAGCCTACAGACCATCAAAAAATCTTCAATGAAATATTGCCCTGGTTCTCTGAAAACAAAGAGCCAGAATGGAAAATATAGTGTTCGTGTTTCTACTTCCTAAATATAAATTCCTATAGTTCATTTTCAGTAGCTTTAAAATATATGGAAAGGTGGAAACAAAACCCTACCAACTGAAAATTTTAGAAATATTTAATTTTTTTTTCAAACTCTTGATCAATTAATGAAATCAGAAGAGGGCAATACGTGTTGTGAATGAATAATGCAGAAAATTTCTTTTAAAACTATAAGTTTATAATCCGATTAAATTGCATCTAAATTTTTAATGACTTACATAAAGGTTAATGCCATAATATTTATATTTAGGTCTATATTTTACCACAGCAACGGCCCTTTAGAAGATCTTAGTGGGCGAACACTGTGATGTACTCAAGGGTATTGCTGAAGTGAGACAAACAATGTGCTTCATATATAGATTTCTGATTTCTTACAATATTCAGATCAATAGATATGATACTTGACAAACTTAAAAGAGAGAACATTAATTATAATGGTTACAAAAGTGAAAATAAGGAAAACAAGCACTCGAAAACCGAGAAGGGTAGGTTCTATAGCACCGTCAGATGGAACGTTTGTTCTTTCCATGACATCATTGGCTTGGTCGAACAAATGGTTGTGGATTCGGTCCAATTGTGACAGGACAATGACTTTGAATACG